CGACATTGCCATTGCTCAACATTGTTTTCGTCGCGGAACAGCTCAGCAAAGAGCGGCCGATTTCTAACAACTTATTTTTCTGTGAAAACTTCGTAGAACTTCGGAGACATCATTAATATAAATAATTTTAATCGCCGTTGAATAAGAAATGTTTCTTTCACAAGAAATGTATAAAATTACAGTACTGTATTAGACTTACGGTACCTAATTTACATACTGACAGACGATAGTTAGCGTAAAAATCTCCGTAGCGTGGCGCCACGCTAGACGGCGGAAATTATATATTTAATTATAACAAAGTTACAATAAGTTAATATATAATTATATATACAGTACCTAATTTATATATAATTAATATATAATTATATGTACAGTACCTAATTTATATATAATTTATATAATACTTTCCAGACGATAGAAATCTCTCTGTAGTGTGGTGCTACGGATGGCAGGAAAGTAGTTCGGCTGCCCGATGACGTTTAACGTAATTATAGGGGGTTTTTTACGGATACCGTCACCATTTTTTCGCAGTTTTATAGGAATTGTAATTATTGGGATTGTAATTATAGGGGGTCGACTGTATACTGGGTAGAATGTCGTCGTTGAAGTCTCTCGTGCTCCAAAAAGTTTCGAATTGTTGCCTGAGACCAATCAGTATTCGTTTCTTTATGTCGCTTCTTCTTGTGTTTGTTCAATGAAGTGTTCGTTGTCTGATCATAAAAATCTTTTGCGAAGGTGTTCATTATCCGATCTGTTCATTAACTGATCACCCACTGTACCTCTCTCATTCAAAAAATGCAATCAAGATTGTCTGTTTTTGATGGCTGCCTGAGGGTTTTCTTCAGCAGTGCTGATTCAAGGTCTCACCACTTGACATTTTGTTGTTTGTTTTGTATTGATAGCACCAAGAGTAGTGAGGCCATGACTGATATATGCAGTTAAAACACTAGACTTCTGCTTGTACACTAAAAATAGAATAAGCTGCAGAAAGAATCATCTGCTGCAATGATTGGGTGCAGTAGCATGGTGTCATTATGGAAAGTTTCCAAGAGATGGTGCAAATGTTGACACAATCAATATTTTATTTAAGTTCCACAGAACTTACCTCCTAAGTAAACTTGCATTGAATTTTTATTTCTGCAAGTACTTCGTTAGGATGGTATTATGCAAGGTTTTTGAAATGTCCACTTTTTCCACTAACAGTTGCGCAAATGTTTATCAATTTTCAACCAAGCACTGCTGCATATTCTTCACAACTTTGTCAATAAGTGGTGTTGATTGTCTTCCAGATTTTTATTGTAGTGGATATCCTCTCTCCCTTCATGGAAATGCCTATGCCGTTCAAAGACTGCATTTCTCCATAGGGTCTCATATCCATATGTTACTTATAGCAGTTGTCATGTTTTAGAGGCAGTTTTTCCTAGTTGCACTTATAACTCAATGTTGATTTTTTGTTCCTCCATCTGAATTATAACTGAGCATAAACATGTGCATACCTGTATTGCTTCTAACTCTTCCAGCATACCAGAAACATTTGACTTTGTTGCAACTTCTTTATTCATTTATGAAGCCTTGTAAAATATGGTATGGTCTAAAGCAGTGTTTTTCAACCTTCTTGAATACGCGACCCCTTTACAAGTTAAAAAATTCTGGCAACCTCGCAGGGCCATATTAAAACTATATCAGTGATTTTAAAAACTATGTATTTAATTTTCTTTTTGTTGTGACCTAAATATCGATCGAAAAACCAATTGTACTGTAAAATAAACAGGCCCAGCCTTCTCAACAAAACTGTGTGTTTTTTTTATTGTAGTGTAGGACCTACAAACACTTACTTTTTTCTTTATCTGCAACCCCCAAGTAAAGCTTTGTGACCTCTCTGGGGGTCGCTACCCACAGGTTGAAAAATACTGGTCTAAAGGAACATGCTGGGTAGAAAAATTCCCAAGAAAACAGACTGTCTGAGAACTTTTGGAACAAGTATTGGAATGTCTGTTACAGAAAATTTCTTAATTATAAAATTTATTTTAATATATGATAGTGAAAAATATAAAATAGTATATCAAAATATTTGAAAAATCTTGGAAAAATATAGACTTTTACTTTAATACTTAGACTAAGTCAAATAGGCACAGATACATACGGGCTTATCACACCAGTGAACAAGATTAATTTTAAAAATATTTCATGATTATTTAACACCTTATTAATAAAACTGTACAATAAATTATGGCTTTTTTAACATGTCTATAATATAGAACACTCAAAATGCATTTTGAGTGTTCTATATTATAGACATGTTCATACTTAAATAGAAGAAAGTATAAAATTATACAAATTATAAAAATACATTAAAAGGCCATTAGTTTTTTTTCAATAAATTATCTCGGCAACATAAAGTGCATTTGGATAGTCCATTAAAACGCCATCGTAAATATGACAAATTCACAATTATCACAGGTGTAATAGTTACACAATCATCATTTCTCGGCCTTGGGAACAAATAAATACTTTACCCAAACTAGCCGAGTCATCTTACCACACAATAAACAGTGGACGAATACTATGCACTACTATTCATTCACTGGTGTGATAAGCCGTATGTATGTGTGTGTATTTGATGTAGACTAACAAGTAAGTGTTAAACAATATTAAGGGCTAAAAGCAATAGATTATTTCATTGAATAGACTTTTATTGTTAAAATTTATTGCAGTGTTTTAAAAATTAGATAATTTTGTCACCCAATTTTACAATGTAATTTTTCATTTTTAGCATATGGGATCTCGAGAAGATATAGCTACTAAAATTGAAGCGGACACTCGTATCAGGATAGAAATGATGAATAAAGCTATGAACGTTAACAAAGATAAAGTCATCGAACATCTTCTGACATTAGTTTGTGATATCAAACCAGATGTACATCGTAATCTTAAATTAACAAATGTTCCTCAATAACAGTTATATTATTATTATATTTTATCTGTTATTGAAGACTTAATGGTATTTAGTCGTGTGTAAAATTTATCATATAATATAGAAAGAATATATAATATTATAAATGTAACTGGTTAATTATAATGAAGACATTCCGTAATGTTTCCATTTTATATATTTTTGTGTATAAACAAAAGAACTAGATTTTGTTAGCTTATATTGAATTCTAAATGTCTGTTAAAATGTAAAAAAATACATTATTGGAAAGTAATTTCATGTGTTTAAATGAAATAGAACATTGTATGTGGTAAAATTAATAAAAGAGAAACACATTTAAAGTTTATATTTAAATAGTTATGAAATGAAATTTCATTTAAGTTATATTTGATTTGTCAAATTGATAGCTTGACTATCCCAAAATTTAGAAAGTAAAAAAGGTGGAATTTATTGATTTATTTTCTTAAAATTTATGTACTGATTTATGTTATAATTAAAGAATTTTTCAGTTCTCTCAAATATTTGTCCATTCAAAAATCACTTATGGCAGCTGCTATTTCGTTGTGAATGTGTCTCTTTAATCCGATCAAATCAGTTCGGTAGACTATCATATACAGCTTTCAGGTTAGGTACTTCTTTTATTGGTTTGTCAAATGCATTTCGGACTTATTTGTATTTTAAGTCCCTCTTTGGTTCAAATCTACAAATTATTTAAAAAATTTTACATACAATTACTTAAAAACACAAAGGTTATATACAATTAGTGAGATGACAAATTCTTCACGTGTAGATTATATTTACTGACATAAAACTATTAAAAAATTGTTACACTTATACATTACCTAAGGTTCTGTTTTTTAAAAAACCTCCAGTGTATAACTGGTAACGTTGGAAAGAGTTTAAAAATATAGCCATTTAAAAACACTTCAAATACATTTTCACATTAATACGGTGATCCTAATATATCAATATATTTATAATTATTACTTTATACAGGGTTCCTACTCAAATTTTTGTTTTGAATTCCCTGACTTTCCCTGACCAACTTTGTCCAAATTCCCTGACCCTCACATTTTTTAGTGTGGAATATCGACATAATAAAACAGCATTTACTGTTAACATTGAGTACATTTNTTTAAAGATTGCAGCATTACTTCTTGCCGCCTGCAGATGGCTGTGATTGGTCATCAATATTCAGCAAACGAGATCAACAATGTAGTTAAGGAGACAAATTCCCTGACTTTTTGACAATTTTTGACAAATTCCCTGACTTTTTGACAATTTTCGACAAATTCCCTGACTTTCCCTGACTTTTTCCAAAACTAATGAAAATCCCTGACTTTCCCTGATTTTCCCTGACTTTCCAGGTGCGTAGGAACCCTGTTTATAACATTATATATTTTTAACATCAAAAAATATAACATGATACTCACTTTTAACAATTGTTCATAAAAACTTTTATAATTACAACCTTTAAAAATTGTGCATGTTCTACAATAAAATGTTGCGGCAATAATGAACGTTTTACAGGTTAATAACACGTGGTATATTACCATTAACACATTCTCAAGAGAATACATCCACACTTTTACAAAATTTTTCTTTCAAAAATCACTTATGACAGCTGCTATTTCGTAGCTCGTCACTTATGGCAGCTGCTATTAAGAGGGACTTAAATAAGTCCGAAATGCATTTGACAAACCAATAAAAGAAGTACTGTACGGTACATTCAGTTAAACCATTTTCCTTTGTTTTTGTTTTCTGCCTCCGGCCTACCGAATTGCCGAGTGGAGTAAACCGGTGAACGCTAATAGTTGCTCGCGAGTTTGCGCCTCGTTTTCTTCACGTTCGTAACATCTAAATAGGGGCCGATTTCCCCTTAAAGTTCTCCCGAGAGGCGGCACTCCTCGGCCGATCGCCTACGTGCCGCGTTGCGGTAACCGAGTAAATCAACCGATGTTCTTTAACGAGGAACCTTCTTGGAATTTTTACGGCTCCCAGGTTCGGGCCTACTCGGCCTAATAGTCAATCCGCCACAAAGCCAGAGCCAGAAACTCACCTAGAGAGGAACCGGAGTCATCATCGGCGCACCCAGAATTTCCCGGAGTCCCGCGTTCCACTAGGGAGCCCGCCCTATAGTTTGAGAACCATTAGTTTATTGTTTATTAAATATTTTATTTTATTAGGCATCAACAAAGATATCCGCTGTAATATCGATAAGTAAATTGGCGTCAAGTATTTTATCTTCAGTTTGTAAAGCTTCATTATAAAAATATTAAAAATAAAAAATTCTGAATTACTTTTTTCAGTTCATTATTGGCAATAATTGACATTCCATTCTTAAATATGGATTTTATAACAATGCGAATAAAATTACAATTAATTTAGACGTTTGGATGAATATTGCTGTTATCAACCAGAATTGTATTCGTAATGAGCTATTGTTCATCGGCGGAAAATACAAATTTCGATCGGACTATCGCTAGTGGACACGAAATATGTTGGTCGGGCTCTGACCGTGACCAGGAAACTTTGTATTTCCAAGGATCTGACTGTACTTCGGAAATTTCTGTCAGTAGTCAAGATATAAATGTAATTTCTATTAGCAAACTACCTCTATTAGCAAAAGTATCTAAATCAGAAAGAGAAGCACTTTTTATAGCCAAACTTGGTCAATGTTCGAGAATATTTCAGTTTTTGGAGAGCGAAACGGAAACAAAAGAAAGACGGCTAAAGACCCAGATATTGATTGAATTATATAATTTTATATCGTCACCTACATTCGACCTTTCTATAAATTGTTACAAGGAAATAATTATTATGTTCTCTAATAATGTTTTTCAGACCTTAGTTAATTACGAAGTGGAGGACGGGAATTCGACCGAGACGAAATCGTCTTTGCTTCCAGCCTGGCCTCATTTACGACTCGTGTATGATTTTTTCCTAAGATTTCTAGAACAGAAAAAACTGAACACAAACTTCGCTATCGAAGTAATTAGCAAGCAATTTATCTCGCAATTAATAGATCTATTCTGTAGTTTAGATCACCGCGAAAGAGAAAAGCTAACGCGCATTCTTCATAAGATATACTTCTTATTTAATCCTTTAAGATTATTCATTAGAAATAAAATATATGGAGTTTTCTACAGAATAATTGAAAACCCGATTAATTTTAACGGAATATCAGAATTATTACGAGTTCTGAGTAGCATCATTAGTGGTTTTCGTTTGCCTCTGAGGAACGAACACAAAGTATGCTTAGAAAACTACCTTCTTCCTCTACTTAAAACTAAGAATTTAGATCAGTTCTACATTTCCTGGACTAAGTGCATCGTGTCTTTCGTGGATAAAGACAGTACTCTTACTGAAAAAATCGTAAACAGTTTGCTACAGTCATGGCCTAAACATTGCGACTTAGTCGAGTTAGTCTTTCTGGATATTCTCGAAGAAATATTGAACAACATCGAATTTCGAGAATTCCTAAAAGTTCGAGAAAAGCTCCTTAAACGGATAGTCAATTGCGTCAATAGTTCTCATTATCTCATTACGGAAAGAACTCTTCGTTTTTGGAATAACGTAATCGTTATTCATTTATTAGAAACCGAGCGTAAACTGTCGATGCCAATCTTGATTCCCGTTTTGCATAAAGTTTCCACCAAACATTGGAATGAAAATGTGGTTGCTCGAGCAAATCAGATTCTTTTCAGATTAAAATCTGAAAATAATATTTTGTATAACGAATTTATTCCAAATTAAAACATCACGGAACAAATGATAATACGTATATATACTGTATATTTCTGACGAGTTGTAACGAGGATCTTTGATTTTAATATTTCAAAATTACTTAGTTCTCGAAGTTTATACCGACACACGTTTATTTTGGAGGTACAACGTAAAAATTACTGTTCGTACACATTTTCCGAATTCCCCGATTTCTGCCCATTTGCAACCAGTCGACGTTGCTTTTTATTTAGCCGGTGCTAGTGCCGTAGTAGGCTTCTACCAAGTAGCTAAGCTTCCTACAAAATATAGTAGCCGGTCAGCCTAGCGATCCCCGTACATTACTATATTTACTGTAATTTATATATACAAGTAGACCCCTATAAAACGGGTTCCTATAATTACGATTCTTATAAGACAGCGAAAAAATTGCGACGGTATCCGTAAAAAACGGTAAAAAAACTCCTATAATTATGTAAAACGTCATCGGGCAGCCTAACTACTTTCCGCGCCGTCAAGCGCCACGCTACGGAGAAGATTACTATCGTCTGTACAGTATTATATATAAATTATATATAAATTAGGTACTGTACATATAATTATATATTAATTATATATAAATTAGGTATTATATATATAATTATATATTAACTTAATTTATTGTAACTTTATTATAATTATATATATACTTTCCGCCGTCCAGCGCCACGCTACATCTTGTTTACAAGGGTTTGTATGATCTGTTTGACTATTGACTGTTGAGAATAGTTCAGTCGCATATTCCTACCATCTTTCTTTTATATCCTGTTGATCGTGTAGTACAATACCATTTTTGTTTTTGATCATTCCTTTTTTGGCTTTAAAATTTGATCTTAACTCTTTAACCTCCTTGAACATTGGCCTGGTCTGGCCTTTCTTGCTGTCTTCTTCACTGAATTGACATTTCCTGACAAGGAAATCCTCCTTGTCCTTGCGTGCTGCCTTTTAGAAGTCATTGTTCAACTTCTTGAACTCATCAATCATGGCATTAGCTTTTGCTTGCCATCTTTTTTCTCCAATTTTCAGTCTTCTTCGTTAACCATTTTTTTGTTTTTCTTCTTTAATTTTGTACGGAACTGTGATCTCAGCAGCGATTAACACATTTTGTTTTATTTCCCCGGGTTATTGTCATCACAGCAAAGTGCTTCAAATCTGTTCTTGACTTCTACTACATATGCTGTAGTTACTTTCACCACATCAAACCTTATTGTTGGATTAGTAGGTTTGAANAAATGATGTAATTTGAATATAAATTATTTATAAATACGTATGTCAAGTTATATTTTTATTACGACGTAAAATATATTTAAGAGTTTACGACCACTGTGCCGGGTGAGACGTTGTTGAAACAAAAAAAGTTATGCATTCCATCATGTACATAAACAGTGTCGTAATTCGCTAAGTGAAAATCAGCAAATTCGTAAAATTTTTGTTTATTTTGGACAATCTGGATAATCGAAAATCCGGATAATGGAGGTCCGGATAATGGAGGTTCTACTGTATTTATATTAATGATGTCTCCAAAGTTCAACGAAGTTTTCGCAGAAAAATAACATCAGAAATCGCGGCCGCCGTTTGGTGCGCTGCTCCGCGACGAAAACAAGCAATGGCGACGTCGAACGGTGCACACTCGGTAAGTAATCCTACAATTTTTTATTTATAGCGTAGTTTATATGGATTATTTCCAAAAAAATATACGTATTTTGGAAATGTTGAGTCTGATTAGTCTAGAATCGATTAATTTTATGGTAGAAAACCTTTCAAACAGCCGTAGTCCGTAAACTTGACACGTATCGGGCTGTGATTGGAAGGACTCGTAAGAAATCGGATTCCTAAAGAATGGAACTTATCTACTGTCTTATAGGGTGGTCGACTGTAATATATGCTTTTGCTTTTTATCACGTAAACTTAGGCTACTGTTATTTTTTTACACGCGAAGCTAATAGGCTAGTACTGGCTAGAAGAAGAAAATATACTAGTCATTTATTTGCGTCGTATTTATGTCTTAATTTTCACTTTTCCCTGCTCTGTTATATATTAGAGAGGAAAAGTACGGCGATCGATCAAAAATTGAACCCCCAAAATTTAAAAATTTTGGACTTGGAGGACCTTCAAACGTCAAGAAAAGCAAAAAGTCGGGTTTTTCCCACGTATGTATGGATGTTAGCGTGAATGTGTGTGTGTGTGTGTGTCAAGATTTTGTTCACTTTCTTTGAAGCGTAATAATAGCGAGGTTGAAGCCAAAGTTTTAAAAGCGAAAACGTGTACGTCGGACGTTCGGCGCCACTTTCCCGTAAGCCTAGAAGTTTGGCAATGATGTTTGGGACGTCGAGCGTGATTCCACTGACTATCCAAACGGCATTGTCAAACTTCTAGGCTTACAGGAATGCGGCGTACACGTTTTCACGTTTTAAACATCGGCCTCGACCTCGCTAATAACTCGTGCTTTTCGTCGAAAATTTATGAAATTTTGCAGGGAAATTAATTAATTAAGGGAATTGATGCTATTAAAGTTCGGTGGTTAAAAGTCGAGGAGGTTGGGTAGATAAACAGAGTCAGTTGCTCGTCATATATCCAGTAGGGTGGGACTTAACGACGAATTTACTGGTTATTAGCATTTACAATTTGTTTATAAAACCCATCCCTACCCTCAAAATTAAGCTATTTGTCATTTTATAATAATTAAAAATATACAAAGTTTTTAAATAAAATATAACAGATAGCGCCACCAAATGTTGCCGGGAAATTTAAGTGGCGCAGATTCCACGGGAGATTACGCGACGAACAAAGTCTTCCGAAAACCAGAACGTACTGTACGTAAGCGAGCGGTAACGCCGACGGTCGAAAAATCTCCAGCAATTTTTCGGAGGTGATCCGTCCGGATAGGTCGAACCCGTCCCTCGCTACCCGGCCGATCCCGTAATGGGCTGACTAAAAGAAGCTCTCTTAGTGCCCACGGGGCGGAAAGTTTTCAGAAAGAGGAAACGTAAGACATCGACGCCGTGCTTATAACTTTTAATGTTATCACAAATTTCTCGCTGCAAAGTAAATTTTCGAACTTCGTCTACGTCTTTCAATCTACCTTACGGAAGACCCGATGGCCGAGCGGTCGAGGCGACGGCCTACCGCTCCGGGGGACCCGGGATCGAATCGGGACGGGTCAAGAAATCCCCAGGAATTTTTCGGGGGTTGTCCGTTCGGATACGTCGGGCCCCGTCCCTCACCACCCGGTCGCCCCATTGCCGGCCCGGCCGAACCCGTAATGGGCCCGCTATAAGAGGCCCTCTTAGTGCCCACGGGACGGAAAGAGTATTTTAAAAAATCTACCTTACGGTCGAATCCGCGGCGAGATTGAAAAAGGCTGTTTTAATACCCGTAGTGTATAAAGTTACAAAAAATACACCATATTTTTTAAATCATCGAATACGAATATTTATAAAATAATTTTAATTATATCTATTATAATTTAAAAAATAATAGGCGACGACATTGACAGATGGCAACACTTTGAGACAATTGGCTTTGTTGATATTGGAGAGCTGGATTCCGACCATGATCGGCGAAGCGTTGCAAATAATTATCGGATGTTTGGAAGAAGTAAGTTTACGTTTATGTCATTTCGTACAAAGTTTGGTAAAAGTGCCTCTTCCATAAGAAATTTAAACTCCTTTGCCAAATATGCTCTATAAATGCTCAAACTCGCGCTTAATGCAAATATTCGTCTTGCCTATTGTTCTAGGGATATTGCCAGATTTTAACTTATAAATATTAAAACTGTTCTTCGATGATAAACCCCGCCGAATAATAATGTCGACTGTATGGAAAAATGACCGAAAACAAAAGTTTAATACTGGCCACGTGCGCGGACCCGGTTCGCCCGGCCTGCCGCCGCACTGTGCCACGGCTCGGCTAAAATATAATTATTTATGTGGAAATATCGTAGATTGTACGTAAACTTACTATGTCTATTACTACTATTTCAATAAATGTAAGTAAAAATTCTAAAATTGGTCCGATCTGATGTTTGCATCTGTGAGGGTCGTAAAAGCGCGTAGAAATTTCGACTAATTACAAACTTTAACGGCAGAAAGTTTCGAGGATAGAATCAGGTCAAGGGGATGTGTTAGTGACAAAGCCCAGATGAGACGAAAACTTTCTCGAATTGTAAAACAAACGCGACGCGACGATAAATAACGGGGGAATGTCGACAGAGAGAGAGGGAGAGCTTTGTCGGGATGCGCGCGAACAAATATCGGGTCGAAGCAAGCGGGAGAAAGGGGGGTCTAAGAACAAAAGGGATATCTGTTAAGTAAGAACGCGGTAGGGGATAGATGGCCACAAGAACATCTGGTGAACCGTTTGGGTTCAAAGATGACAGAGAAAAGGGACATAACGGAGTAAAATACGAGCGCGAACGTTAAAGGACCGTCATCACCTCTCCGACCTTTTCCCGACCCGAATCGGTCTCGGGTTTCGCCTAGAAACAAAGGAATGACCAATCGGAGTAAGGGAGAGGGTGAAAGGGACCAATCAAAAGGGTGAGATTCGGGGAAAATCTTATAAAACCCCCGAATCTCAAGGACACGAGGCAGATTCTCTCCAAGACGCCAGGCCCGCAGCACACGGACACATACTCAAGAGGTCAGGATAGCCGAGTCTCAGCCGTGCACTGGACCCCCAGCATCCAGAACGCCATAACCGCCGAGCACCGCCGCATCATCGGACACCTGAACTCGCATCAAGGACGCAAGATCGTCAGTAGCTACCTCATTGAGCCCCGGGGCACAGAAGAAGCGAAACCTCAGCCGGCCAACGAACTTATTTTGTTATTCCTGTTGTGTAAGTTAACTTCATGTCAAAATAAACGGTTTTCGTGTAAGACACTTGTCATCTTTGTCTCCTACCGCCACCACCCACATACGGTTTGACCCTAGGTTTTCCTGACGCGCAATTAACGTATTGCCCCCAAAATCGGCGAACTTACAGTAGTGTCAGAAGTGGGATTTTAAGCCCAATTTATACCAGTTCTGACCTTACAGTTGTGTCAGAAGCTCGGGATTTAATAGTCCCACACAAAAATTTTTGTAAGTTACGCCGACAAAGAGTTTTTCTAAAAAGTGGGTCGAGCGATGGAGGCAGATGCAAGTGTCCCGACGCGACCTCGTGACGGTGGCAGTAGCGGCTCTCTTCCCTCCTTTTCCGCGTTTGGAGGATTGATCCCAACGTTTTCGGGTGAAACAGGGCGTGTCACCGATTTCTTTGACACGTTGGGAGAGATCGCTAGTCTGGCGGGATGGACCCCTCGGCAGTGCCTGAGCATAGCCAAGTGCAAGCTCACAGGTGTAGCCCGAGATTTTGCATGGCGCGACCTCAGCATGAAGAGTGTAACGGAGTTCGAAACTTTTCGGAAGCTGATGATTCAGCGTTTCGACCAAGAACCATACTCCTTACGTGTCCAGAAGTTCCATACATGTACTCAAAAACGAGATGAGATGGTTCAGGAATTCGCGGTCCGCTTGCAATCCCTCGCTAGCGCGACAAGCATAGAACAGACAGGCGCGAACGAAGAGGAGAACGCAATTATCAAACGCTGTCAACAGCGAGAACTAGACGAAAAATTACGCGTCCAATTTCTGCATGGTCTAACGGACAGGCTAAAAAGACGGGTTATGACGCATGACCCCGCGACTTTTGCCGAAGCACTTAAGATAGCTATCCGTGAAGAAACGATAGATCAATTGGCGGGAAAAACGCGAAATTTAGTTGCCGGCATCAATGATGCAGTAGAGGATCGCGGCACACTGGCGGAAGAATCCAATTCGCGGAGAGAGTCGGCCCTCAACGCAAAAATCGCTCAAACTTCGAAACAATTAGCGACATTAGGAAAAAGACTCGATCAACCGCCCGCGCCTAAACCAATAAACAATTTCCAAAGGGGAGAACCCTCGCGAACAAATCGGATACAGGATACTGATAGAGCAAATGACGGAATGCGAAGTTCGCGGCATCCCCCGAGCCCACAGCGACGCCCACCGCAACAATTTTCCCCGCGATCTCAGCCCGCTAATCCGCAAGGACAACCCCGCGCGCGATATCCTTATTACGGTCCCTTTTCGAAACAAAGTCCGATACCCCCTTGGAGAAAGAATGGAGATAGATCACCTAGATTTCACGCTACGAATCCTAATTATTCAGAATGCGGAGATTATATGCCGACGCCTCTCGATTGGTACGGAGGAAACGCTTTTTCTCAGTATCCCGGAAGGTGGGGAGTGAATCAAGAAGCTCCCGAATGGCAGATCTCCGTTAGAAACTTGCCGAACCCCTTTAGAGTTAGTCAGTCAGAACAGATACCCTTTTTCCCTGCGCGATTTAGACAATTTGACAATGGACAAGGTATTCCATTGCCCTTTTATCCCCTGTGTTACGGTCTGGGTTGGCCCAGAAGCAGCTTCGATACGGAGCGCGCACCGAACAACGTAGCCGCCCCTCGATTTTTAGCGTTACCCGCACCGGAATGGAAAATAGACCGCACCGCACCGGAAAATAGACCCGAGGACAATAAGCAAACGCGAGACTCAGACAGAGTCACATCGGTCACGTTTAGAGAACCAAATGGGGAATTAAATCGACCATCGATAGGTCCAGAGACACCCCAATTGGCAGGAATCAGTAGATCGAAAAGTAGAGAATTACCTCCTTGTACAATGGTTTGCGAGATAGAAAATAGGAAGGTTCAGCTGACGATAGACACAGGCGCAGCTGTTACTTTAATTTCTAGAGAGTTATTTCCCGATACAGCGCGATTGCCGCGAGCTGAAACTAGAATAGTAGAATTAATAAGTGTTACCGGACACGTTATCAAGACATTCGGAAAGTTTAAATTAAAATTCCAAATCGGACGTTTGACCTTTTTCCATGATTGTTATTTAGTGCACCCTGAGATCACTACGCCTAACGATGGAATCTTAGGTAGGGATATTATTCAAAAATATGATGTTACAATCTCGGTTAAGAACGCGACCCTTAGTTTCCCCTCAGGAGACACAGTGACCTTTTGGGGACTAGCCAAAATAAAAGAAAACGAAGATAGTTCAGAATTAAATGAAGATGTCGAGAATAATCGCGAGAAAACTAGCGAAAAGAAACGCGTACCGTCGAAAGATAATTTGAATTTAACCTTAATCAGCGATAACGAAAACAAAAATATAGAAAACGCGGAGATGAAAAAGAAAAATAAACGCGCGCGAAATAAAAAGTGAAAAACGAAACGAGATAAGTCAAAACAAACAACTATTAATAGCCTAGAGCAGGGAGGGAACGACTTTCCTAAGGAGGTGACGTTAGCCAATGATTACGTCATCCCTCTGCGGTCAGAGGTCATTGTAGAAGGGAAAGTTTATTCCCCGTTAACAGGTCAATTAGGAGTTGTTGAACCGACACCTCCCAAGCGAGAGGGAGTGTTTATTGCCTGTACATTAGTCAAAACACAAAGGCATGGTCGAGTACCTATTAGAATAATGAATGTAAAAACACAACCAGTTAAATTGGTCAGAGGAAGTAAGTTAGGAACTTTTCTCTTAGCAGAAGAAGAAACAAAAGAAAGCGCGAAACAAAATAAAATGACGCGATCGAACGAAAACGATTTAACTAGAGAGCAATTTGCAAATTTATTTAATTTTAGCGAGGTAGGAAAGGATAAGCTGACCCCTTTATTAGATTTATTATATAAATATAAGCATGTATTCGCGAAAGACGATTTTGATTTGGGTTATTGTGACTTAGTAGAGCATAAGATAGATACCGGGAATAATCCCCTGATATGCCGTGCCCCATATCGAATTCCATATGCCCAGAGAGAGATAATGGATGAGTTAGTGGATAAAATGATTAAAAGTGGGGTAGTAGAACCTTCTAGCTCCCCATGGGCATTTCCAGCATTGATGGTTCGTAAATCTGATTCGTCGTATAGAATGGTGGTGGATTATCGTCAATTAAATAAAATTACCTAATTAGACCCTTATCCATTGCCCCATATCCAAGAATCACTGAGTTTGTTGGGAAGAGCGCGATATTTTTCTTCCATGGACACCCTAAGTGGATTTTGGCAGATACCCTTGAGCCCAGAATCCAAGGAGAAGACGGGGTTCAGTACTTCGTCGGGGCATTATCAATACAATCGTCTCCCAATGGGGATCGCTTCCGCTCCAGCAACTTTTCAAAAAATGGCGGATTTGGTATTAAGCGGCCTGAAAAATAAGATTTGCCTCGTCTACATGGACGACATATTGGTATTTAGCCCAGATTTCGAATCACACTTGGAGAGATTGGAGTTGGTGCTCCAGCGCTTGGCTGCAGCTGGATTGAAGCTAAAGCCCCGAAAGTGTCAGATGCTAAGGCGACAAATAAAGTTTTTAGGGCATGAAGTGTCGGAGGATGGTATCCGACCCGTCTAAGATAGAGTGTGTTAGGAATTTTCCTCAACCCCAGAATGAGCGAGATGTTAGGGCATTCTTGGGATTGACAGGATATTATAGACGGCACATTTTCCAATATGCAAAAATTTCGAAACCCCTTTCGGATTTGTTAAAGAACGATGTAAAGTTCCATTGGAACCAGGAACATGAAACCGCGTTCGAGAAATTAAAGGGAATATTGACTACAGCACCCTTGCTTAGATCCCCAGATTTTAACAGTCCCTTTATATTAGCAACAGATGCTTCCAACACAGCGATAGGTGCAGTGTTGTCACAAAAGGGTGAGAGAGGAGAACTTCCCGTAGCATATGCGAGTAGATTGTTAAAACAAGCTGAGAAAAATTACAGTACCACAGAAAAGGAATGTTTAGCCGTGATTTGGTCAATCAAACACTTTAGACCCTATCTTTACGGGAGAAAATTCACCATTATCACAGATCATAGACTTCTTAGATGGCTTATTAATGTTAAAGATGAAAGTTCGAGACTTAGTCGATGGAATTTGGCGTTA